ACACTGCGTTAGGGTCACCCAGCTCTCTCGAGGAGCTTCAACCTGTCCTCAAAAGAGAACAGTCTCTCGTCTACCTAATGACCTTATGTTGATCCTTTCTCAGAGTAAAATCCTATTCACTTAGTTACGTCTGTAAAGACATGATTTCTAAATAAAATCACATTCTAAGGTATTGGATTTAGGAATCAGTGTATCTTTTAGAGGTAGAAGAAGAACACAATTCAAATCATAACAGTAACATTTTGTAAAAATAAGATTTGCAATAAGATATCTGACATTAAATGGACTTCTAACTATAATTATGTTATAAAAGGAAAAAAGAGCATTTTTCCTTCCCCAGCACCTGACATGTGGGCTCTGGGCCATTTGGACACAAAGAAAGACCATAACAATCTTGAACCCTTAGCTCTCAACCCCATATGGCTTGGGATTCTGACATCCGGCAGTTATTTAAATAATAGCTTTCAGTTTGGGCAACAAAAATATCTATTCAGTGCTTGCAATGTGATACTTACTATAAATTAGTTAGACTGTTTTATCCTGTAGAGTACAACCTAAAGTCAGGAAAGAATGGGACTTTGGAAAAGGCTGAAACAAATTGGGACACAAGAATGTGATGCCATAATCCCAGAGCAGGGATTAGCCCGATAAGATTGCTGGAATTTTCGCACCTCTGAGAAGGAAGAGATAACTTTGAGTTGGCAACTGAAAGAGTTGATTACCACTCAGGAGAAGAAAAGACGGGAAAGTGATGCATGTGTCTGCTAGACCAACATTTCACTGGCCTGCTGGGTACCATCTTTTAGTAAGGCTGAAGGAACCAGGACTCCTCAAATTTTCAGCCCTTTCCTTCTCTCACCCTCACCTCTTTCTATGTTGGTCTGGGGCCTTGGATGTCACCAAACAGGCCCTGCACATGCCCTTAAGATCCAAAGGTTTCCTCCCACGAAGTGAACCTCCTCCCTTATTAAATGAACCCCTTTCTACTTGCCTCCTTATCAAGGTCGTTGTTTTGATCCCATTTGTGCTTCCACCTGGCTTATTTCTGCCATGGAATTGTATGTAATGTCCTGCTGTTACAAATCAAGTGACTAAGAATTTAAGCTGGTCTCCAACCTGCCCCACCTCATTCAAGTAGCAAACTTAGAAGTCCCTGGTAACGCTTCCTCCCTGGTTTTGTCCTCTTCAAGAGACTTGTCTTCACCCTGCTCTGGATTTAAAAAGGTCTTCCTTCCTTCCTCTTGTAGATTCCAGTGTTCCTTGATCCTTCACCTCTCCATATCATCTTCAACCCTTCTTCACCAAACTCCTCCTAACTTCCTTCAGATTCGCGAGATGGCTACCATACCCTTCAGACAACTAGATCCTTGGCTACTCTATTTTCGATTTACATTAATGATACCATCTTTAAAAGTAATAGTTGGCCCTCCCTGGTGCAGCAGCGGGTTACAGCACAGCACTAAGAAGCTTAAGCCACTTCCGCATGAGTTCGATCCCCGCCTGCCCCGGAGGTGACCACATGGTGTGGCAGACCTCTCCTGACCCACCCGCTGCTCCCCTCAGCAGTGTACTTCATCGATCTGCCTGTTCTGCTCCCCACTGTCTCTGGTGAATCCTCTCACCCTCCACATCTCTGGCCTGTACCCCCGTTCTGTATGAATAAATAAATAAATCTTAAAAAAAAAAGTAATAATAGCATACCATAGCCAACAATTTGTTTCAGAAATGCAGCGATGAAGAAAATCTATTATGATATTATCTTTCTGTCACCAGTCTTTTGAAGTCAAAGTCCTGATGGTCTTCTTGGATTCCTCACTGTGCACCAATTAAATGACCTACCTCAGAATTTGTGGAAGAATTAAATGAGAGAAGGCATATAAACCATTAGGTGCACAGGACTTGACACAGAGTCAGTGCCATGATGTAGGCTATCACTAGTGAATATCCTACTGCTCAGAGTGAATCATTGAGTAGTCAATCCCCACACCTCCCTCTTCACGTCTTTCAAAACCAACCTTACACCATCCATCCTCTCCATCTCCCCTTCTGCATTTCCATTTATCAAGACCCATTATTTCCCATAAAGACCAGGGACAGAAATATTACCCCATTCTCCTGTCTTCTCCCATTTCCTAAGCCATCTGAGATATAAGTTTCAGAAAGCTAGTGATGAACTAACTGGATAGTGCCATTTGTTTGCTTGGAATTGTCAATGCTTTCCTATCAGCTCATTTGGAAACCAGGCCTTTCCTGTCCAGCGCCACACTACTTCCAGGCATGTCTCCAATAACCAAGCTCCAAGCAGACTGGGTGGGAAACCTCTCAGAATGGCTTCTGCTTCTCCCACAACCATTCCTTTCTGAATACCATTCTCTCGGCCTGGAAAGTCCCTATTGCCCACAAATTAAAATCCTTATTCTCCAAAGCTCTCTTCCTCCACAAAATCATGTTTTTTGTTTGTCTTTACCTCATTTCAGTCCCTACCCGTCTCAGCTTATCTCCTAGTCATAGTTTATATTGTCTCTAATTCATCTTTTTTCCTCTACTATAGTACCTCATCCAGTGTCCCATAAGTAGAAGACACCCCATAAGTGCCTGTTGATGCATTGAACAATTGTTTATTACTGTTCTCTGACTGAGGAGTTACCATGCATGGGATTACCTTGGACTAATTTTCATGCATGTAGTCCCTCAAATACCCCAGCATACATCGTCCCAGGATGATTTTTAACAGCATACATCTCCTAATTCTGCTCTGTGCCTTTCCACTTCCAAACTAGTTTCTTTTACTCACCCCAAGACATTACGGACTTCAGCCTCCCATCCTAATTTTCCAAAATTTCATGCTCTCTTGTGCAGAATGGTACTCCTACACTAACCCCCTAAAGAAACTCTTCTTCTAGGTCTGACCTATATCAGAGACCCCAAGCCCTGCAGTTAAAAGTGTCATGAAAATAGACTGAAAAGTAGCTGTGTATATACAAATTGCACTGCATTGCAGGGTATAGTTTGGAAGTTCAAGCAAGAACTGTTTATTAAAATGTATGAGCTTACCATAGCTTTACTGAGGAGATAACATACTTAACAGTCACTGGTGGAGCACTGCATAAGAGAATGGGAATTTTATGTGGATCCAAGGGACTCTTTTGAAGTACTTTTGATACTTTTCATTAGGCAAGATGGAGCTATGTTTAAGGCCATGTCACTGACATAAAAAAGATGCACATTATATGTCAGCAGCTACAGTACAATAGATATATTTTGTGTGAGCGCAGCAAAAACACTTCAGGACACAGTTTATTTTGCAAAAAGACTGAATTAACCATTCAACTGCTGCCCCTGCCACAGAACTCTGAATCTGGTCACACTGTGGCTTTTGTTTCTCATCATTATATCTTCTAGCCTTTCATGTACTGAGGATCCATCAGTTAAAGATATGAAAATAAAGCCAGGAAAGTGAATGCCTCCTTTGGGCTCAAGGCTCTGAAGGGCATGATCCAGCAGCAGAAGCTTACAAAGGAAGAACTGAACTATGGAACCTTTATCACAGGAATCAGGAAATTCTCGAATACTGGGTTTGCCCTCTTCCGGGTGCAACTGAAATGCATCTACCTCCTGAGTCTTTTCTTTCCCCCCCTCTGGTACAGATCACTTTGTAATTTCTTTCTGTCGTGAGCTTTTCCACTTGGATCTTGATAAGTATGTGGGCTTTGACCCTTCAGTTTGTTGAATGCTGGTGGAACCCAGCCAGAATTTTCCTTCCATATTTGTCCAAATGGTTTCTCCTCACTATGGGAAGAGCAAAAGGGCTGGACTAGCAGTGAGTGGGAAGGATACACAGTGAAATTGTCCACCATAATAGCAGATAGCTCTTGGTCCCAGTCCCACTTCTATCACTTCTCAACAGATGGGCCTGGCAAATTTTGTGGCCCTCTGAACCTCAGTTTTCCTCTCTAATTATATATATAGGATGATGCCAGCTCATGAGTTTGCCTGGCACAGAATAGGTACTTAATGAATGTTAGTTTCACTTCCATCCTCCTACAGCTACTCCCAAGTTCTTTCATACTCAGGAGAAATCAGTCATTGATTGAGGTAGTATCTCCTCTATCCCTTCTACCTTAGAAACCAATTCTCACACATGGCTTCTCCCTCTCTCCAGCCCTCCTACCTACTCCCCCTCTCAGTCCTGCTCTGTCACCCATGAGACAGCACAGGAATCTCAAGGGGAGCCAGTCTTCTATCCTCCACCAGGTGTGGCTCACAGGTCCAGCCTGGTGGGTCACCTATGGGGGGGGGGAGTACAAAAGAAGGTGGCATGTGTTTTTGCAGGTTTTTCAATCTTTCCTTTAATTTTACCACATGCCTCCTCCTTCCTGTTCTACTTCTCCTTTCCCCCAGCACAAGGTGGTGACTTTGGCACTGGATCGCTGAGGAAACACCCAGGTCAAGGAGTGTCTAGGCAGCAGAAAGAAGGGAGGAGACTGACTAGGTCATAGACTGTCATACTCTCTGTTAAAAGACTTTTAGCCAGAGGACTCTTTCGAACTCCTATGTCAGTAAATGAGTCACTCAAACCATAAACACAGGTGTTAGGGCCCCGCAGGAGACCTGGGTGTTCCAGAATAGTGGAAGACCAGCTCTTTCCAGGCCAACCCCTTACATTCTACATCCAGAAACTAAAGTTCAAAGAGGTTAAGCAATTTGTCTGAGGCCCTAGTCAAGGGACTGTGCAGGACCTGGAACCACCAGGTCACTGTCCAGTGATTCCCAGTCTCGCCCCCTCAGGGGCCACCCTCCACCCACCAACCACAGTCAGTGGCAAACCGGGCGCCCCCCGTGCTTTCAAAACCACCTAGGATCCAGATCTCCTTATTCCATGCCTGGGCCCTCACTCCTGTTCCCCCCATTCCTGCTACCAAGCTTTACCCTCCTCAACCCCTCCCCTCCAGGGCTTCAGGGGGCATGCTGGATGGAGGAATGAGGGCCACCTATAGTACCTGTGCACACACTGTGGCCAAAGGCAGGCTGCAAACACCGCAACACGCTCCCACAGAACGGCGCGGGTCCAACATTGGGAGAAGGGGTGCAAATCGGGACTCCTCTCGGGGTCAGACGGCGCCAAGTCTCGGGCTAGGGGAGGAGCCTTCTTGTCGGGAGCCAGAGGGTGGGCGAGGGAGGGGGGGGCCGGCGTGGAGAGTTTGAAGGGATCCGTGGCC